AATTATACTACTGGGTGTATCACTTCCTCGAAATAACAATTGGAAATTCAACCTGAAGCACTTGGGTATATGTCACAGCGATGCCAGCTTCAAATATAGATTCACTGACATAATCGTACTTACGAGCATTTGATGGTATTTACAATTTTGGTACTGGAAGCTAACTTTCTCAAGGAACCCAGCCTGATTACGTACTGTGAGTAGTGCCCTTGATGTAACTTCGGTACATTATCTAGAATTGCAGCTAAGAGAATGGTTTGACAAAGCCGTTATAAAAGGAAAGCCAGTAAAAGGGTGACCGCCTGGAGCTAGTTGTTTGAGAGCGAGCAGAAAGCACGGTCGATGTCCAATTCTTTCATTTCTTTTCTCAAGCTACTTTCATAGTTTGCTCATAGTTTCTTTGGTTTCCCATGTTTTGTGTTGTTTTCTTTATTCTTTATTTTGCTTTGCTGCCGCCAGGGCCCAATCGTTGACTACATCCAGCTTTATTGCGACAGCGGTGGTGTTTTTAAAGTAGCGATATCCCGACGTCCGCTTGATCCCGTCTTTGACAGAAAATGTAGTGCCAGTATCTGTCATCAGATTTACCTGTCAATGCATGTTAAACATTTTGTTGCTTCAATCTTCAAATGCCGAACTTTCATTAACCTGTACTTTTCAGTGCCGACTTAAAATTCAACCATTCATGCAGGGTAGTAATTCAAGGAAGCAGATTTTTTCTACCCGCACGACTTGCTCTTCATGTTTGCCGATTTTGTTCAGATACTCTTCATTGATATCGCCTCTTCCATTACACATCATTGCTGAGTTCCAGCATGCCGAGGGACACGTAGTACATACCTTCTTCCCAGATGTTTATTTTACTACATCACACATTTACTTCGACCATTTAACAATCGCCAACTCGTATGTAGTCAAATTCATTTTGTGTCCCATTTCACCTTGTAGCAGTTCATCAATTCCAATCCTTTGTATTTATAGGTAGAAAAATTTTTTATGGCGTCTTTCTCAAGAAATCAGAAGCGTTATGTCCGAACGTTATAGGAG